TTTATCCTAAGTTTAACTATTTGTGTTCTTCATCTTTCACTGAAAATATAGACAAGGGCCTCCCTGCTGGCCCGGGGGTAAGTCTCAGCATGATGGAGCTGGAGCCAGCCACTGCAGCAGGAGTTGGAACTCCAGCCAGGGAGCTGACCCATGTGGCCAGCAGACCTCTCCTGTCTCCCCTCAGCAGTGGATTTCAGCAAATCTGCCTGTTCTGCTCCCCACTCTGTCTCCTGTGAATCCTTTAACCTCCGGCTTCTCTGGCCTATACCCAGTTCTTGTATGCATAAAATAAATAAATAAATAATTAAAAAAAAATGTAGGCAGGCCCTCCCTGGTGGTGCAAATGGTTAAAGCGCAGCACTGCAAGCAAGCCCCAGCCGCTTGAGTGCTAGTTCAATCCCCAGCCCTGGAACTGACCCACATGGCGCGGCAGACCTCTCCTGATCCACCCTCTGCTCCCCTCAGCAGTGTACTTCTCAGTCTGCCTGTTCTGCTCCCTACTCTGACTCTGGTGAATCCTCTCATGGCCTCTGCACCTCATGCCCGCATCCCAGTTCTGTATGCATACATAAATAAATCTTTTTTTTTTTAATGTAGGCACGTAAAATATGTTTTTATCCATTCTCAAAAATAAAAGATAGTCTATTTTTTAATGTTTTCTTTTGGCATCATTAATTTTCTACCAATAAGCCTACTGGCTTTTGAAGGAGAAAGATGGGGAGGATATAAAGAAAGGAAGAAGGAAGGAAGGAGGAAGACTGGATGCATTTAAATTCCCCCGTGTGAGCAGTCTACTTGTGTCACCAGACTATGCCTATTTTTAAATAAAGATGACCTTTAATCAGCTACACTCCAGAGTGGTTATTGGATGAAAAGGGAGGTCACACAGACTGAGCATCAAAAATGAGTGCCTGTTCTTTCAGCTGGATGGAAGGGCAGCTGCTTAAGCTGAAGAGCGCAGCCTGCGGGAACTGTGCCTTTTGCAAGACCAAAATCATGGCAGGTCCAGACACCGATGCCCCATCCCATTTTGCTGGTATTTAAAACATACCCACACATAAAACGAATTGTGTGCTGACCACAGTTAAAAAACCTCTCTCTCTAAGTGCTACATAAATGGATTGTAAACTGCACCTCCTCTGTTCAGTACCCAAGTCTGGAGAAGCTAAAGTCAATTCATCGTGGGATTTTCAATCTGTGCAATCAGTTACGGTTGTGTATCAGATGTGCATATGTCGATGTTGTTGACATAATTATTGTTGTCATTTATTCCACCAATACAATGGGTTTATTTGGAAACAAGGCAATTTTGCAAGTGCTCTATCCTGGCAAGACACACAAGCACTTCTCCACATAAGCCAGCACCCACTTATACAGCTTTGCGGGGGCTGCTTCTGGCGCAGAGGGCCTCCCTCCCCCACTGGAGCTGGGAAGCAACACCATTTCCCATCAGGGACATAAGTTGTGTTGACCCTTGTAGTTGGGAGCCTCTCTCTTAGCCCCTCCACCTCGTCTCATAGGGTCTCTGTATTGTAATGTTCACACTTTGTCGACTGCGAAGCTGTTCCTCCTCTCCTCTGGAGACAGTCCCAACACCTGGCTGTGGAACGAAGCACCTGTCGGCCAAATATGCATGCCACACAGTAGCTGATGTATGTACACCTGTGTATGCAAGTACCAATCTGCCCATTGAGGGCCAAGTGGCAGCACCCTGAGGGAGCTCAGCCTTGGGGGTGCTGCCTGTGCACAGGACTGGCAGGGTCACAAGGCGGGACGGGCAGCTCTTTGCTCCCCCTTCTTAATAGTTCCTGTAATTCATGGATCAACATGTTAAGAGTATTTACTGAGGCCCTCCGTGGTGGCACAACAGGTTGAAGCACAGAGCTGCAAAACTAGCCGCAGCCACTTCAGCAAGAGTCCGAGCCCCGGCCAGGGAGTGACCCACATGGCGCGGCAGACCTCTCCTGTCTCCCCGACCCCCCGCTGCTCCCCTCAGCAGTGTACTTCATCAATCTGCCTGTTCTGCTCCCCACTCTGTCTCTGGTGAATCCTCTCACTCCCTGTGCTTCTGGCCTGTACCCTGGTTCTGTATGCATAAAAAAATTTTTAAAAGATTTATTTATTCCTCTGCATGTGTATATGCATCTGTGTGTACCTATTTAGTCCAAATTTCCTGACTTGGCATGTATTAACAATTTTTTTTTTAAGTTTTACATTAGTAAATGTTTCCATGGTGATACTTGTCCATTTATATTCTATTTAAAAGGAGAAAATCCTTTGGGATGAGGGCTTGGGGTGGGAAATGGTCTGTGTGTGGGGAGAACAGAAAAAGCAGAACAAATATACCAAATGGAAATGCAAAGTTGCTTTCTACCTCGAGTCACTGACAGAAAAGCTCTTCCCTGGACCTATAGCACTAAGATAGATTACTCTGAAGATACTGAAGCCTAAACCCCAGGACTCCCCACCTTTGGGGCCCACTAATGGGACCTTGATCATAAATGCATAAGGTCAGTGTTTCTTTGAAAAGTTTTTATTTTATCTTATTTATTTGATACAAGAACTGGGAAGTATGTGTGGGTATGTATGTGAAAGCATTCTCCAGAGACAGAGTGGGGAGCAGGACAGGAGGGCTGACTGAAATACACTGCTGAGGGGAGCAGCTGTGGTGACAGGAGAGGTCTGCTGCACCATGTGGGTCACTCCCTGGCCGGGGATGGAACTCGTGCTGCAGGCCTGCAGACCGCTTCATCACCAGGGAGATCTTTGAAATTTTTTTTTATTATTATTATTGAGTTTAGAAGTTTCTATTTCATCTCACTGTTGGTAACATCATGTAAGTTTTTATAATGTTGGTTAAATTTGGGAAAACCTCTGTCCAATGTCTTTCATACGAAATTCTTTGAGATAGGAGACTGCTGAGATATGACAGGCAGACACAATACCTGACCCTCACCTGGGCCCTACTGCTGTTAAGGTCACTCTTGGGAGAGTTGGACAATGGGAACTGGGCTTTGAGTGAAGAGTCTCTGAGGATTCATATGATTTTTACAGCTGTTCTGTGATTTAAAATTCTTTTTATATTAATAAAAAAAACACAAAAAATATAAGCATGGTGTCTGACATGGAAGTGGTGCCTCCCGGTCATTTGTGTGGCTTTAGGGGAATCACTTTCCTTTTCTGACTTCCTTTACCTGGTTGTAAAATGGGAGCTTTGGATGGTAATACTCAGTGTGGTTGTGTGGCACGTATTCTTCATGCCCAATTGTGAAGAAGGGGCAGGGATGACCCCAGGGGCTCCTGTGGCACCAGGGTGCCTTTGAGAGGCTGCGAGCCATGCCTGGCCTTCCTGAGAGCAGCCTCGGTGCCTGCACTGAGGTGGCAGTGGTGTGCTTGTTCAAGTGCAAATATTCAATAAACACTGGTTGAATGCACTTCCAGAAGATACATTTGAGTTCTAGGCATTAGGAAGAAAGGGGAAGGGGAGAAACAGATGATGAATGTGTTGGGGTTTTTTTGTTTTCTTTTAGGGATTTTATTTAGAAGAATTGGGTGTGCGGCCAGAGGTGCATGGTGAAAGGATTCACCAGAGACAGAGTGAGGAATGGAACAGACAGATCTACTGAAATCCACTGCTGAGGAGAGCAGCAGGTGAGACAAGAGAGGTCTGTTGCACCATGTGGGCAGCTCCCTGGCCAGGGATGGACTTCAGGCCATAGTGGTTTCAGCACTGAGACTTAACCTCTAGGCCACCAGGGAGACCCAGATGATGACTGTATTAGGAAAGCAAAAGCATTTCCAGAAACCCCTAGTTAACGTCTACTTATATCTCCTTAGTCAAAATGAAGTCCTGTGGCCACCTATAGCTGTAAGGAAGCCTGGGAATGAGTATTTTTAGCTGGGTGCACACTCTTCTTGAGCAAAACTTTTAGAAGTAAAGATGGGAAAGTCAACCTATAGCGTCAGGCTAAACCACATGGGTCTATCCTGAATTATGAGACAGAACCTCCAAGGCTGATCATTTGCATACTGGTGATCCCTGGACCACATTCTAAGAATGATCAGAATATAGGATGAACCTGAAGCAAGCTTTTCTTAAGCCATTCTGGGTGATGGGCACACTGGTCATGGACATCTGCTGTCTTGTGGACAATGCACTCTACCCCCAGTGCCATCCCCTGTCATCTCTTTGAGAGTGTCCTTAAATCTCATCTTGAAACCGTGACAGTAATTTCCACCTGGGAGGATTAAATGAGCGTTAGTGCATGAAAGACCAAACACAACACCTGGTAGGCAGACCCCTCTCGACAGCAGAGTCACCCCAGTCCTGGATGCCCATTCATCTTAGGCCTCAGGCGTGGACAGAGGGAGGTGGCCTTGGGGGAAAACTCCAGTGTCTGGACAACGGGCTCACAGCATGTTTTCCACACCAGGCCAACTTCTGAGCTCCTGGGTGAGGGACTTTTTTGCAGCAACTACTTTTCATTTCCTGTAAGACATCCCCACGCAACAGGCAGCCAATAGCTAGAATCCAGAGGGAGGGGCGAGGCCGTGGGAACAGTGGATAAGGAGAAACTAGACTTTCGATTTATTCTGACCCAGTGTCCACCACATCCCAGGCACCTCGATGTGCCTTGCACACATTATTTCCTGCTTTAATCTCTCTCAGCTGATACGTCTAGCAGATGGGGTAGAGCTGTCAAATCTGGACAACACTGAGGCTGCTCTGAAATCAGAAATAGCTCAGAATTACCTGGGCAGGGACTGCTAGCCTAACATGCAAACAGCTGCTCTGGACACTGGATTCAGACTCGAGTTTGGGCCCCGTCTGAGGACGGGGTGGAGGGGTCCCCTTTTACTATGCAGCCAGTTCTTTTCCAAGGTGCAGCTGGGCCCCAAATACTCTTGGGCCCCTAATGGAAACACAAGAGTGAGAGAGACAGGAGAAAATGAGAAGGGGGAAAGCCGGAAGAAACAAAGGGAAGAACAGGCAAGCCAGCGACTCTGTAACGATACTCATTCCTTTATTACCACTGTGTTCATCCGAACAGAACTGGGGCCTTCAGCCGCTGGCAGCGCTGAACTGCAGGTGCATTTCAGCTCAACAGCGAGGCCTCATCCTAAGCCAAGAAGACATAGGGTAATGTTATATATATATATTTATATATTACATATGTCCTGTATTGTCATAGTGACAAGAACGGGCCACCGTGTTGTTAACCACTGTCCTAAAGACCATCGCAACACACATGGAAATTTGGTCCTAATCAAGGCCCTTTCTTTGTCAACCAAATACATCAAAAGGAAAAGAGAAGAGAGAGACTGAGATCCAGCCACCCTGGTGGCCCTGTTCCCAGCATAACTTACACCCCTGCGGAGGTAAACACACACCGAAACACACACGCACAGACGCACGGACACGAAACTGCAGGCAGGAGCCTCTCCTCCTACCACACCTTGGGCCCAGCCTGCAGACTGGGGGTGGTGAAGTTGGATGTTTTGTGCTATAAGACAGTGAGGGTAGAGATCAGACAGTGCAGTTGATGTGTCCAAGGGATGAATGGGGGTGACACGTGCTGCTTTATCCACAAACAAGAAAGCGGTCAGTGGTGGAGGTTGCTCCAGGCAGGCCCAGAGGCACCCCTGTGCCCAGGCCTGGGATGTCTACACATAACTCCTGTCCCAGCCACAGCCAAAACTCTAATCTGACTCCTGAGTCTCGATCTCCCGGGCTCTGATGAAAATGTTATTTCCTTGAAGGACAAGAGCAAATAGTACTCAAGTTGCCCAACCATCTAGTCCAGTAATTACAGCAGAAACGACAGCATTGTTGAGTTAAACCAAACCATCATTTGGTCCTTTGAGCAAAATGTGGACTGACCAAGAAGGGTTCATTTCCTGATGGAAAGAGAATAACCAGGTCACCAGCCCCCATGCCTCCTCCCATGCCACATTTCAGGCAGGTGTGTCAGCGCAGGTCTTTCCTCCATCACTGGGCTCCTCATATTCCAGGAACTGGAGACTCCCACCAGCAGGGGTTTGGAATCCTAAGCCACTTGTTTTCGCTCATGCTCACTTCATCCCTCCACCAAAATATACACTCAATGAGTACGTCAATGAAAACTAATCTCTGTTTTCGGTAGAAATTTACTTATCACTCAAGATACCTGGAGACACTTAGGATGTCGCAAAGGTAGGTGAAGAGCATCTCCCCAGGCACCACTGTGCACCCTGCTGAAGAAAGGGTTAGGTCTCGACAGATCAGTGCTCCAGAATCCGGGGTGACAGGCAGAGCTGGCCGATTGTGCGGGGGCTCTGACTTCTGTGCTCCCCGAGCAGGAAAAGCAAGATCCCCACTCCTTTGTTGAGCTGAGGAGAAAGACATTGATGGCTCCACTGTAAGCTGTGGGACAATGACCGAGGGAGCAGCCTCTCAAAGACGGGAAATTGGCTTGATGGCTTGTTGGCCAAAGTTACTTCACCAAGGACAAAGAAACCAAGGGCCCCAGAGGAGGGTCTTCCCTGGATGACGCCATGTTGTCTCCATGACTGTTTCATTCCTGAAGGTCCTGAGGAGACAGCGACTGGTTGGGGCACGACTTCCTTCCGAGGGGTCGGGAAGGCGGCCGAAAGCCGAGTCTGAGAAGCCATGGGTTCTTGCCAAAGCTGAAGAGCGTGGGCTGTTGATGATGTCGTTTACAGTCCTTGAAAAGAAGCCCAAGAGCTGAAAGAGGTGCTGGAGGCCCAGAGAGTGAAGAGCAGGGCTCTGGCCACTGGGAGCACAGGCCCAAACCCGCAGGGCTTCTCGCGTCCTCACAGGATGCCTGGGGTGGGGGGGGCATCTAGGCCCAGAAAGTGCTTAGGAGTGGCTCACGTGTGGAGGAGACGGAGATGATGAAGTGAGACCAAGAGAATAAGTGCTCTCTTCTCAGGCACTGGCCGCCTTCCCTGTTGGGGGCAGCTGACAGGGAGAGGCTTGAGGTGTGACTGGGGAGCAGGGGCCAGTCAGGAGAAAAGGAGGCTGTACAGTGACCGCGGCAGGCGAGGGCGAGGACATTGCCCCCACTCTCACTGAGCTCCACGAATAAATAACGTTAATTAAATAAGGGAGGCTGACAGAGGCACACCTGCCGGACCCACCCCTCACACACACATGCACGCGCACACACACAGCGAGGCGGATGAGATGATCAGGGCCGCGGCCCCATCCCACGAGTCTGGCTGAGGCCGTCTGCCTGAGGGCGTCACTCATGGTCTAGCACTGCTGTGGGGCGCAGCGCGGTGGGGGCCAGCGAGGCATGTGTGGTGGCAGGCGGAGGCCGCTGAGGACTCTGGCACCTGCAGGGGAGAGGGGTGAGGTGGGTGAATCGGGCGGTTTGGGACGTGCCAGGATAGTGAGGCCTTTCCTCACCCTGTAGAAACTCCCCACCCCTGGGCCCCAGTCATCTCTGCCCTCTCTTCACAGTCTCTAGGTACCACCACAACCCGGCTGAGCCCCAGCCAGCCCAGGCGATGTCCTGCCCCCGAGCCCACTGCCCACGCTGACCGCGGTGGCACTGACCAGGATCTGGACTTCCGTACTTTAGACGTGGAAGGTCTTTCCAGGAAGCTGTCCAGCCGCATGAGCCGCTCCATGTGTAGTGCCCGAGGGTCTTGTTCTTGGTCTTGTGAGAATTCCATCTCAAAGACAGCTGGAGGAGACACATCCAACTCCAAAAACATGATGTTTTCAGCCTGTGGCAGGAAAACCACACCAGGCGTGAGCAGCAGCACCGAGGACGGAGCCTTCTGGGCACGCAGCAAATATGGGGGAGCAAGGGAGGGCAGAGGAATCGGAGCTGTGAGCCTCCCCTGGGCTCTCCCTTCCCCTCTTTCCCTTTCCAGCTTCTTACCCTGTACCTGGGGTGGGACCCCATTGCCATGGCAACCCGAGCGTACTGGCTGATTGGCCTCTTATAGCCCACTGCAGATGTTGGCCGTTTCTTCATTTGGCTGTTATTGCTGTAGGGAAGAGACTTATTATAATTATTCCTTTATTAGAATAATTTTCCTTCTAACACAAAAAGAAAAATGACACTACGATGAATTTATTATCTTTCAGGTAGCCAGGAGGCCCTGCAGAGTACAGGTTCTGGAATTTCTTTCCCATGCACTGATTCAACTTGACAACGAAAATTAATATGATGTAAGGGGGAGCACATTTTTTCAATCTTATTTCTCAAATTCATACACTGATTTTACATACTACAAAGACTCACTGGTGATCAGTGGCTCTTATTTTCATGCCTTCATAGAAAGGAGCACAATAAAATGATTAAAACCTCCGACTGGAAATGCAAGGGTCCCAAAGTGGCCGAAGGAATCTCGAAAATGAACAAAGATGGAAGAGTCTCATTTCTTGGTTTCAAAATGGATTGCAAAGCCAGTAATCAAGACAGTGTGTGAGCGGCACAAAGAGAATGCGTAGACCAATGGGATCGAGCTGAGGCACCAGAGCACACCCATACATCATGGTTAACTGATTTTCGACAGGATGCCAAGACCATTCAGTGAGGACACAACAGTCTTTTCACAAGTAAGTGATGCTGGAACAACCAACTACCCACAGCCAAAAATGGAAGCCGGGGCCCTACCTTGCACCCTGTCTGCTCCATTGTGTGTGTGTGTATGTGTGCGTGTGTGTGCGTGCTCAACAAGCCTTTATTTTTTCAGACTTATCCATGTAGTGTAGTTCAATATCAGGTTATTGAAGTTTAACAACACTGAGTGTTTTAAGGAATCAATATATCACTTCCTATATTTTCCTTCCTTTTTTTCTTGCTGATTTTCCTCTCTCCCTCTTTTTTTCTCTTCAACACAGCACTGCCATGAACATGAACAAGTGAACTTTTCTGTGTAGTATCTAAGGTACATTTCAGCAGGTTCCCCAGCATCTACTCGCAGGATCGCTTGCACGGTCATGTCCGGGCATTTTTCATTAGGCCAGATATTGCCAAGTCACTCTGCACAGTGGCTAGGCCTAGCAACGTTTCCCTTGCTCTATGGTCTACACTGGTGTATCCAATGTTTTACTTTCAGTAGCCTGATGAGGGTGTACTAATTTTTTTACTCAAACAAGGAAAGGAGACAGGAAAGGTATTTCTGCTTTGAAAAAAATGGCACAGGTTTTGGAGAAAAACAGATCGGAGTTTGAATGTTGGCTTTGCCTCTTAACGCTCTGGTATCTTGGGAAGTAACTTAACTTCTCCGAGCCTCTTATCTCCATCATACAGAACAACTGAGATTAAGCAGACCTGTCCTTAGTCCAGTCCACCACCAGGGCTCACCGCTGGGCTTATTCTCAGTTCCACTTGCTAATTTCCAAAAGGGATACACATGAGCAATGAAAAAAGCCAGAAGACAGACAGTCAAAAGACAGGAGAAGAAACAGGCCAGTAATTGTGGATAGGACTTTCTGTCTTTGGGGAGAACAAGCTGTGCAAGAAGAACAAGGCCTGTCTTCTGCAGCACACAGCGCTGAGGAGTCGTATTCCTTTGGTTCCCTTTATCCAGCCTATAAAGGAGCACTGGACCTCACTCAGGGGTCTCTGATGGCCCCTCTCTATAGACAAAAACAAAGATCAGGCAGCAGAAGCCCAGCTTCCCCGCATGGAAAGTGGGTGGGGGGACTCCAGGAGATGAGGAGACTGGATGTGGGGAGCCAGAGTCTCCTGGCGGCTCTAGAGGAGGGTGATGGCAGGGGGTGAAAGCACAGCACTATGATGCCATCTGCAACCACTATCGCGTGAATTTGATCCCCGGCCAGGGAGCTGACCCACATGGCACAGCAGACCTCTCCTGTCTCGCCCGCTGCTCCCCATAGCAGTGTATTTCAGTGGATCCACCTGTCCTGCTCCCCACTTTGTCTCTGGTGAATCCTCTCAACCACCTCCCCGCACCTCTGGCAAGTACCCCAGTTCTGTATGCATAAATACATACATCTTAAAAACAAACAAACAAACAAAACCCTGATCATTTATAAGCTGTGTCTATGCATCCCATTAGAAACTGATGACTTCAGAAAAGCCAGGTGCCTTTTAGGTTCAAAAGTCAGACAATTAGGAAGCAAGTGGAAACTGAACCTTCCCAAGTTCCTTCTTGAGGACGGCCCACTGTCTTTCCAGGTCACACAGAGCAGCCTGGACTAAAGCCGCTTGCAGCCTGCAGACTCTGGGAAAAGGACAGAGGGCCAGGGCTGGGTGAGCAGTGTGAACTGACCCAAAAAAGATGCGAGGGCTATTCTGGGGTGGCAAACAGAAAGAAGGGGCGGAGGGAGCAGAGCCTGTAAGTGGGACACCAAACTCCCACTACTCCCTCTTGGGCCCTAGGCCTCCTTTCCACATTCAATCCCTGTAGCACTGGGGCTGTGGCCAGCTGCCCAGATCCAAGGTCTGGCTGCGCTTATAAGCCCGCTCCCAGCAGAGACCACAGCCATCCTGCGCTCCAGGGACTCCCCAAGGTCTCTTCAGACTCTCCCTCAATATGCAGCCAGTCCCATCTTTCTTCTCAGCTCCATCACAGGGGCTGACCCCATTCTCATTACCGGCTCTGTCTGGCCACCCCTTTCCTTCTTCGGGTCTGAACACCACAGGCTCCTACGTCACAGGCTGTGTTTTCCTTCACGGCCCTTCTCCTGCATCTGCTGTGGCTGCAGGATGCACGAGTCCCCGAGAGGCAGTGGTCAGTCTCACAGCACCCCTGCTTGTCTACACTGTGCCCCACCCTTGCCCCCTCACACTGTCCCACAGCCTGCCCGGGAAGGTGGGAACCCTCCCTTCATTCTCACTGAATGAAGGGCTGGTGAAGAAACCCAGGATCACAGCCCAAAGCTGAGAATGTTCTCCCTGAGGTAAACTTTGCATCACTAATGAACCCACTTCAACTCTCTGTCCTGATTCTACTTAGACCGAGGAATACTCGCACTTTAAACTTGGGGACCTGTGGATGAAACATCGAAATCTGAAATAGAGCATCAAACCAAACTGCCTTGCCATGGGCTTCTAGGGATGAAGGCACCTGCTTCCTGCGGCCCCCCGCCACTGCATAGCAGCTCCGGGGGGAGGTGGTGACGTGAGGACCCTCTCCTCCGGGCCGGGTCCTGGCCTGGCACCCCATTTCAACCTCAGTGAACTGGCAGGGGAGATTTACCATCCAGACATCACGTGAAGGACGTAGGCTCAGAGAAGTGAAAAGCTCACTCGAGGTCACAGGTAACTGGCCGAGCAGAGACTAGAAATCAGTATGTTCTCAGCCTGAGGTCCTGGCTCTTGCTACTGTACCTCAACGCCCCTGAGACGAATCTGGGGTGATTAGGGGTGCAAAGGCTGACAGGCTAAAGTTACCAAAAGAATTTTGTGCACTTCAAACCATGCTACAGACACTGCCAGGAGACAGTGAGACAGTTTTGTATGAACACAATGAACACTAAAGTCTTCTGTGAGAAACTGAAAACAAAAGGTCATGCTTGTAAAATAGTAAAGTCTTGTTGCAGCTGGAGGCAAGAATGTTTTTGCAAAGTAGCTTTACTCCAGAACTGTCCCCGATCCTGGAGGGCACCTCACCTGGAGCAGAGGCACACTGACAGCACACAAAAGGAACAGGGGCAGACTTCCAAAGCAAGGGGGTCTCGGCCCATTCCTGACACTCACTCCTTGTGTGGGGAAGGGTGGGTGAGGTGGGTGAGGTAGCTAGCGTGGCAGGAGGGCAAATTCTTTTCCAACCAGAACTTTCTAAAGGGACAGCATAAGTTGAGATAACGTCTTTCAAACAAAGCGGTTTTTCTCTCCCCCTCCCAGTTCGCCTCTCCAGAGCGGCTGAGGAGAGCAAATTATGCCACAGTTGGTTGGAGCACGCGAACAATGCCCTGATTAGTTAAATATGCGGGAAGAAAGAGCTTTTCAGCTCTAATTAAGTTATGTCGCCAAGAGAGAGCCAGGCCTGAGAGGAAGCCCCCCAGGGCCAGGGAGGCAGGGCTCACCTGCGCCGCCGGAGGGGCGCTTCCTGCAATGGGGGAAGCTGAGTTCACGGGCCTCCCTCACTTCCAACCTTCAGCTGTGAAATGAGGGGGTGCAGCAGACTACTTCAGAGGTCTGGGCTGAGAAGCTACCCTGTGGCCCTCTGGGTTGAGTCAGAACCCCACTTGGGATTTCAATTGTGAGGGAATTACTTTCTTCTAACCACCCACTGCTGTGAACAAAAAAGTAATTAAAAAAAAGTTTCCTATACAAATGTCCTAGGTTTATTTTTACTGTTCTTTTGTATTTTTGTGATCTTTTTAAAAGTTCTGAAGTAAATGTGACTTACTGTGATTATCAGACAGCAAAATGGATTGACATTTAAACATTAAAAAGATTATAGCAGTAATTTAGTATCGCATGCAGTTGCATTTATTAGCTGGTATTTATTAGCAAGTCTTTTTGAAATATTTTACTTATTGGGGTTTTTTCTTGAGAAATCTTTAATAACAGAGTATATCATTTGCAATTAAGTACAGAAGAGAACACTAGTATGTCATGGTTACCTGAAAACCTTTTACCCTTACTCAAATACATCTGGATGTATTTTTTTAAGATTTATTTATTTATGCATACAGGACTCGGGTACAGGCCAGAGGTGAAGGGGAAGAGAGGACTCACCAGAGTGAGGAGCAGAACAGGCAGGCAGATCTACTGAAGTACACTGCTGAGGGGAGCAGTGGGTGAGTCAGGAGAAGTCTGCCGCGCCATGTGGGTCAGCTCCCTGGCCGGGGATCGAACTCATGCTGAAGCAGCTCCAGCTGGTTTGGTAGTGCTGTGCTTTAACCTGCTGCACCACCAGAGAGGGCCCTACATCTGGATCATTTTCTATACAAAACGTAAACTCTGTACATACATGAGCAGATATATATATATTTTGTATAAGAGAGGAAGGTTGAGTTCTGGTGGAACCAGAATTTTGAAGAAACTTATGAATAAATTAATTTCTTTATATTTTTAATATAAAATTTGTAGGGAACAGGGTCCAACTGGGATCCAGTTAGTAGCACCACTAACAGGCCTCCCTGGTGGCCTAGGGGTTAAGTCTCAGTGTTATCACCACTGTGGCTGAGCACAGCCTGGGTTGGATCCCCAGCCAAGGAGCTGACCCACAGGGCACAGCAGGCCTCTCCTCACACACCCGCTGCTCCCCTCAGCAGTGTGCTTCAGTAGGTCTGCCTGTTCTGTCTCTGGTGAATCCTCTCACCCCCACATCTCTGGCCTATCAAAAAAAAAAAAAGAAAAGAAAAGAAATGAAAAGCACCACTAACAGACCCACGATTGGCAACAGATGCTTCTCAAAAAGTCATGGAAAAGACACTACAGGGGTAAGTAAGGCAAACAGCCTTTGAGGAACGATCAGAGTCTTCAGGGTGCCTAACGGCAAAACATCCAAACCTCTCTCTGCATGCTCTTCCTACAGCAAGAAGGCTGATGATCAGAAGAGAGAGAAAGGTGGGGAAAAACACCACAGGCAACCAGCTCCAGAGGCCCTTCTGAGGTCCACAAATAGCACAGAAAGAGCAAACTTGCCTTTAGAGCAGAAAAGATGGAGAAGACGCAGAATCAGGCAGGCAAAGTCGCGAGCAGAGATACCCAGCTCTGTTTTGGGAGCGTTCTTTGTTTAAAAAAGTTACTAGTGGCATTATTCTACAAAATAACTTCAAAGGTGTATTTTAAAATGACTTTAAATTTTAACAATCTGTGAGTGGCTTTTCAGTAGCCAAATCATTTCATTTTCACACACACAAAAAGTTATCTGAAAGTTTATTTAATTTCAAAGTTTATTGGAGTTATTTAAAAGGATAAAACTAAGGGTTAAAAAAACAAAAGAGAAACTGCAGGGGCAGTGTTCTGTTTTAAATTGTTTTTCCTTTTTTAATAAAAACTTGAAAAATTGTTGCATAGAAAAACTGGGGTACAGGGCCCTCCGTGGTGGTGCAATGGTAAGGATGCAGCACTGTAAGCTAGCTGCAGCTGCTTCAGTGCGAGTTCAATCTCTTGCCCCGGAAGTGACCACATGGCGCGGCAGACCTCTCCTGACCGCCCGCTGCTCCCCTCAGCAGTGTACTTCATAGATATGCCTGTTCTGTTCCCCAATGTGTTTCTGGTGAATCCTCTCACCGTCCCTGCACCTCTGGTTTGTACCCCATTTCTGTATGCATAAATAAAACCTTTTTTAAAAAAAGAAAAACTGGGGTGTAGGCCAAAGGTGGCAGGGTAGAGGTGGTGGTGAAAGGATCCACCAGAGACAGAGGGGGGAGCAGAACGAGCAGATTTACTGGAATACACTGCTGAGGGGAGTAGCTGGTGAGGCAGGAGAGGTCTTTGGAGCCACAAATGAGTCAGCTTCCTGGCTGGGGATTGAATTCAGGCTAGAGTAGTGACAGTGCTGAGACTTAACCCCTACGCCACCAGGGAAGACCCCGAGGAACGGTGTTTTGAGAAATGAATAAAACACCTGTGCAGGATGAAGCTGTACAACTCAAACCAATGTCTCTTCCTGCTTCCCGATTAAAGGAGACTACAGAGGCAGATACTGTTAGTCTTCCCTGGCTGCTTGAAGACCCCCAGCATCAAAAAGAACACAATAGAGCCTCCCTCGTGGCCTAGGGGTCAAGTTTCAGTGCTATTACTGCTGTTGCTGAGCACAGCCTGAGTTCAACCCCCACAAGGCAAATCTACTGACCCTCCTGAATGTGGAGCTGACCCACAGGGCACAGCAGACCTCTCCTGACCCACTACTGCCCCCCTCAGCAGTATATTCCAGTACTCTATTCTGCTCCCCACACTGTCTCAGGTGATTCCTCTCACCCCCTGAAACTCTGGCCTGTACCCCAACTCTAGGCATAAAAAGAAATCTTTGGAGAAAAAAAAAAGCCTGATCTAAGAATCAAAGGTAAGGATATCTGCTATTTAATCTCCAATGGTGGAAGGAGCAGGATTAATAAATCAAAATGTGGCCAAATGTTAACAACTAGAGAGACAAGTGGGAATTTTTGTACTCAGGACCCTTTAAATCAGACCCTCTGGCATCAAACTCACAGGTGATTCCAGCTGCAGCCAGAGGAAGCCCTCTGCTGCACGACTGTGGGTCTCTGCTCAGAGTGGAAAAGTAGATTATAAATCCAAACTGACACCTCTGAACTTCCTCTACTTAAGAACTTGCCACTTATAAACTTGCAAAGGAACCGGCCTTTCAGAAAGGAGACAGATTAAACCAGTGTCTGATGCTCCAATGAGAAGCTGTGGACAGCTCCAGGCAGCTTCTACACTATCTTGGCATTACTATCCCTAAGATGGAGAGAGCAAAGACCCTCCAGCAAGGTCATTAGTATTCCACCTCCTGAACACCTCCGCAGGCAGATTTTCAACCAGGGATGCTGAGTGAGGGCGGCTCTGGTTGGGCTTGAGTGCACAGCTTATTCTTCAGCAACACCAGCAGAGGGCGCTGCACCCCAGCAAACCGCCTAAGGACTAGGATGGAAACAGGTGGAAATGCTGAATCACCTGGCCGTCAGGTGAGTGGCCAACGCTTGTCATTTCCTGATCTGATTCCTTTCCAGTACTGCCCCCCCGGACTGAGTGCTGACATGTCTGCAGGGTCTCACGCAGTACCCAACACAGTGTTGGCAAATGTTAAGTAGTGTTGCTGTTTTTGGTGCTGACAATGAAGTATTCACCAGGCTGGCCGAATGTTAGCATTCACTGGGAGGGCTAAGGGCTGGGGCGCTCTCCCACGCCCTGGGCCCCTCGTGCGGTATTTTCTGCCTCGCAGGTCAACAAGACACTTCATCTTTGTCAGGACACACTTGCCTCTTGGCGCCCCCACAGTAAGTCCTGAGAAATGCCCTCTATCAGCATTTCCTCTCACTCTGCAGCCCCCAAACCCGGGTCCCCACAGCCCCATCCCCAGCCAGCAAGGGGAGGGTTGTCAGTCCCACCCCTGGGGAGACACTCACACTCCAGCGGGCACCAGGGGCTGGAACTTCCACTGCTCTTCCTCACAGTCCAGGAAAAGCCGGTTCATGATTTTGTTCTTCTCCTCAGGGGGAATGAAGTTCTCGATGATTAGGTACCTGGGCGCAGCAGTGAGGCAGAGGTGGGGCGTGGGGGGTGGGGGAGAGACACACAGTGTTTGTGAAGAGGGAGGGTTGGGGGCAAGAAGCCACGGGAGATAGGAGCAGAGGGCAGGGCAACATGTGGGAGAGGCCCCCTCTGCAGAAATAACAGAGCTTGGAAATGACGGCTCCTGAGGTGGAGGTCATGGGCCCAGAGCCTCAGCGGTCACCTCTGGCCGCACCAGCATGCACTTTGGGGGTTCATCAAATACAGGCAGAACAGAGGAAGGAGAAGGAAAAAGGAGCGAGAGGACATGTCAGACACGCCCCACGCCTGCACGTGGGGGTCAGGCTGTCTGGGTGGGGCCCTGGGGTAAGCAGCCTGTGAGGGAGGGCCCGAGGAGGGTCTGCTCGAGGACCTGACAGGGGGGAGGGGGCGCCCTACTTGAGCTTGAGCTCCCGGGTCTGCTCATTCTGCGCTTCCTCCAGGTCCTGCCGCACACGGATGTACTCGTCATGCTGGTCCTGGATCTCCGCCTTCACCGCCTGCAGCTTGGCGTAGAGCTGGTGGGGACAGTGCAGCTCAGAGGTCCCACCGTGGCCGGGCCTGGCGCTCCTAACTTAGTACTCACCAGCACAGCCAGGCCCAGGCCAGGAACTCGAGTCCCCCTCCCGCTGCCCCTGTTCTGAGGGCTCCCCACCCCCACTGCCTGCTCTCTCGGCTGCCCGGCTGCCCTCAGCATGGCAGAAGGTTCCAGCTGGAAGGGCCCTGGGAGGCCATTAGCCCTCTTTACGACGAGGAATCTCACGGGCAAACTCGCTCATGCGCTCGTGGCTAGAGAGCAGAAGAGCTGGAATGGGGACCCGGGGAGCCAGGGAGATTGAGAGGCCCAGAGCTCAGGAACGGAAAGGCCTTGCCGGGCTGGAAGGTGGCCTATCCCAGTCCTGCTCCTCGAGGGGTGCTCAAAAGAGGGGGTGTGGGCTACCACCCTGTTGCACAGCTCACCCACGGAGAGTGTGTCCTGGAGACGGCAGGCCACAGCCACGGCAAGACCCTATGAGCCCTGGAACCTGCCACTCCTTGCCCTCATCTCCTGGCCACGGGCTTTGGGGATCCTGGTGACCGGAACTTCCAACCCATCACGGGTCCTTGAGACTTGAGCTCCTTCCCCGACAGCCTTGGGTTCAGGCCTTCTCATCACTCCTCTGGCCCTGCTCCTGGCCCCGCCATGCACAGGGGTCCCCTGGGTCATGCCGATGGCAGGTGAGACCGGAAGTGAAGTGCTCCCAGCCCATCAGGCCAGCCTGGCCGGGAGGGCACCTCTATTCCTCATCTATCAGCTCAACACTAGGCCCTGCTGCTCCCCTCTCCTCCCATCAGCCCAGGCAATTGTAACTTTAGGGTCCCTAAAACACACCCTTGGGGAAGCGACCACGGGGCCGAGGCCGCTGGCCCTCCGCACTGCTCAGCCCACCCTGCTGTGGCGTCTCACCTTCTTGAGTTTCTTGGTTTTGACTTCCACCTCCTGCTGCAGGGACGTGTAGGTGCCCCGTAGCTCCATGGTCTCCTCATCCCGGAGCATCATCTCCTGCTGCATTTCCCGCTCACGGCGTTTCTAGGCCAAGGGAGGGTGCAGGGCTCAGCCCAGGGAGCAGCCCAGGGAGCTCGGGGGGCAGGCTCTCTCTGCCCTTCGCAGCCCCTGGCCTCACCGTGGCCACCCCTCTGCTCCCACCCCAGCCTCAGTGCAGCCTCTCTGAGCTCACAGGCACTGTACTGGCCAGGCACTGGCCTGGTGGGAGACGGACCCCACTGAAAGCCGGCGCACTCCAGGGCTGTCAACACATACAGAAGCCTCAGCCTCCCCAGCAGCTGTCACGGCTGACTGGCCAGACCAACAAATTGGTTCGTGATGCTTGAGGAAACAGTCACATTGTTGGCGAGGAACTCAATCCTGCAGAAGGCCAGGAGCCAGAACGAGGGGCAGGGCAGGCCCTAGGGTGACCTGTGGGATCGGTGGTTGGGGGAGCCTATTTTAGGGTGTCTGCATGTAATTCCAGGGATCCTGAGTCCACACTGGCTTCCTGGCCTTCACTCCCCAGATGGGGGGGACATGTGTCCCTCACACCATGTGCCCAGGGGTCGGAAGCCCCAAGCCTACCTGCTCGGCAATCTCCTGCCTCTTCAGTTCCAACATCTTCTGCTGCTCGTTGGTGTGATCCATGATGTTCCTGCCCCCGATGAGCAGCTTGCTCTCCATGGCCTGGGGAGACACAGGAGCCAAGACAGGCTTTTCAAAAGACCACAGCATCTGTAGCTCTTTTTATTTTTTTTTTTAAAGATTTGTATTTATGCATACAGAACTGGGGTGGAGGCCAGGCCAGAGGTGCAGGGGCAGTGAGAGGACTCACCAGATACAGAGTGGGGAGCAGAGCAGGCAGCGGGTGGGTCAGAAGAGGTCTGCCACACCCTGTGGATCACCTGCCAGGGATCGAACTTGCACTGAAGCGGCTGCAGCCAGCTTGCAGTGCTGCGTCCCAGCCCTTTGTGCCACCAGGGAGGGTCTAGCATCTGTAGCTTTGGAGGTTTGGCTTCCCTGCTCTGTGTTTCTTCAGGGGGAGAGGAGGACACAAGATGTGTCCCAGGTGGGGCCTCCTGGTTCCCAGGGAGAGTCAGGTTTCCTCCTCCAGCCTCCTGGGTCCCAGGGCAAGTTTCTCACTGTCAGCAGACTGTGAGGTAAGGCCGAGGGACTCCCTCAGGGAATACAAGGCACCTGACCCATCTACTTGGATACAGACAGAGGTTGGTTTACTGGCCCTAGGAGGGGGTGGGCGGGAAGGCCACCAGGCTGGTGTTCAGGAAGGGGGCAGGGACACAGCCACTGGGCAGTCCAGCCCTTTTGCTCACTGGCTTCTGACTCAGGAAGAGGGCTCTCAACACAGGCAACAGAAAGGGTCTAATCTTTGGCCCACGTGGAAAGTAGAGTAGAAGCCACAGGGAGAAGGCGCTGCAGCGGGAGCAGTGTGGGGTGCACAGGAGCACAAGCTTGCTTCGGAGATGGCCAGAAAGACTGAAGGCTCTCGAAGGCAAACACTGGGTGGTTTTGCTGATATGTGGAATATAAGGAAACAAACAGAGGCACTGACAAAGCTAAATCAAATCCTAGGGCGCCCTCCCCGGTGGTACAACATGTTAAAGTACTGTGAGGCTGTCCATAGCACCTGCAGCATGAGTTCAATCCCCAGCCAGGGAGCTGACTCACATGGAGCAGCAGACCTCTCCTGGCCCACTCGCTGCTCCCCTCAGCAGTGTACTTCATTAATCAGCCTGTTCTGCTCCCCACTCTGTCTCTGGTGAGGCCTCTCACTGCCCCTGCACCTCTGGCCTGTCCTCCAGTTCTGTATGCATAAATAAATAAATCTTTTTAAAAAAATGTAATGTTGCGGGCCTTCCCTGGTGGCGCAGCAGGTTAAAGCACAGCACTGAGAATCTAAAACCGCTTCCACATGAGTTCGATTCCCGCCTGCCCTGGAGGTGACCACATGGCGCAGAGACCTCTCCTGACCCGCCCGCTGCTCCCCTCAGCAGTGTGCTTCGTCGATCTGCCTGTTCTGCTCCCCACTCTGTCTCTGGTGAAGCCTCTCACTGCCCCTGAGCCTCTGGCCTGTACCCCAGTTCTGTATGCACAAATAAATAAATCTTAAAAAAAAAATGTAATGTTGCAAGACAATGTTAAAGTGTATTGAAAAGTTCTTGTTTTTTACTGTTATAGGAATAAGACAAACTCAACATGCTTCCCACTGACTGCAAGGGTGCAGCCCATTGCCCACAGGCCTCCCCACGTCCTGCTGAGCTTGCTTCCATTCTGGGGGGCTGAGCTGCACTAAACCATAGTGGACGCTGTCGCCATCCTCACCCTAAGAGATGCTGCTTCTCAAGAAAGGCAGAAGTTGAGAGCAATGTGCCCAATGCAGCTGGTTCCCAAGAAGGGGAGTCGTGTGCCCCCACCCCAGCCTCACGCCTGAGCCCCTGTGCTGCGTGAAGCCCCGGATCCAGCACTTGCCCCACACGAACCGAAGGGGCTTGTGGAAGCTGAAGCTTAAATGACAACGGACAATACGAGCTGTGTGACTGTAAAACATCTGTCACTGCCGCTAGTCAGAGGGTGCCTTCCCGGGACCTCCAGAAGACTGAAATCACCTTGAGCCGCTAGAAGAGGCTGGTTGTCTCCCCACTGGAATTTCCCCCAGGGAACCAGCTGACCTGCCTGTGGGCTCTTGAAGCAGAACTGGGGAGCAGGGAACCCCAGGCCACCTGTGAGAGCCCCATCTGCGAGGACAGAGAGATGACACCTAGGGGTTGCTTTGGGGGCAGAGAGACTTACTCCAGGGCCCTGCGGCTTGTTCTCTCCATTCTGGCCCAAGACCCCGGCGGTTACGGAGATCTGCCAGACCCTCGGTCAGGCCAAGCAGCCCCCGAGTCTGAGCCCCACTTTGTATTTATCGGAGCTGGAGGAACCGGAGCAGCTCTGGAGATCATGCCTCCAGGCTGTTCAGTCTCAGCGTCAGCTGGGCCAGAGAGAAAGACCCAGAACCCTGGACAAACCAGGTCCCAGTGAGCAATACGCAGGTTCTGCTCAGTGAGTGCAGGTGACAGCAAGCAAGGGAGAGCTGCTCCGGAGAGCTGCTTACAGAGAAGGGCTGCCGGAAGCTGCCACTCCGGCTCCCACTTCACCAGGAAACACTTCCTCTCTGAGTGCATAGGATCCTGTGGGAGTACTGTGTTGGGGGTTACAATGATTCACAAATATCTGAAATTTGAAAAGAGAAGAGCTGCTTTGGGGAGGTCAGAGGTTGGACTGTTGAGGTGTCTTGAGTAAGGTACGGCCGGCCAGAGTCGCCCCATGCAGCCAAGGAGGGGAAGGGCCCCGCTGCGTGTGCTCATGCCCCAGCCCCCCGGCCGTGCCCCCGGAGCACGTCCCACCATCACCCGTCCACAGCTCCTCCCGGACCGGCCTCACCCCAGGCTGGCACTCCAGACCCGGGAGCGACGGGTTCCTTGCATACTGCGCCTCCCAGCTTGCCCAGCTCACCCTGGACCCGCCCGCCTTGCCCAGCTCACCCTGGACCCGCCCTGGTCAGTCGATAAATCCCATAAAGCCTGTTTTCTCACCAGCCCTTCCTTTTCATCTTCACTGACACCTGCTCACTTCACGGAGTCACCTGTGTCATTGTTATGATGGTCCCCTGCCTCAGTTTCCCCTTCCACCTGTCTCCAGGTGACCCCCAAGGGGCTCCACAAAAAACATCTGAAAGTGCCTCTCCTCTGCTGCCAGCGATTCAGTGGGCCTCCAGCCCTTGCGGACAAAACCCAAGGTCCGTGGGGTTTCAGCCCCGTGGCTGGCTGGGCCTCCCAGCCCCTCCTTTCACCACTCTCTGAAGCACACACGCACCAAGCACCCATGTGCTCTGCACTCAGGGTCCCCTCCACCCCCGCAGTCACTTCATAATCGACCTTCTCTCCCACCCAAAGGCCATGCGGAAACTGCTGCTTCTACACGATACAGCTTGAGCCTCTTAGAAAGTTCTGTCTGATTCTCCAATTTCCTCCTCTGGACCCCCTCAATAACCAGGACCCATTCCTGCTGTTCTCTCGTAAGAAACTATCAAATACTTCTACCCCATCTCCCGGGAGACTCCTTCCAGCTGCTTCCTCAGCTCTCAGTGTCCTAGGGCGCAGCACGGTGACCAGCGCATAAGAAATGCTCAGGAAATGCTTGGTACAGGGAGAGTCCTTGGGGGAGTCTCGAGGGGCCTCAGCTCTTTTCCTGGGCTCACAGCCAGAGCAGAGCTCGGCTCTTCATCCCAGCTTCTCCTTCACATACTGTTGCAGGGCAAAAGGCAGAGTGGCAGGGCCTGGGCATCTGGGCACCCTGGCTGAGGGGTGGGCTGGGTGTGAGAGGGAGGACAGGGAGAAGGCAGCAGCTGTCTCCTATGCATGGAAGGGCGAAGGGGGGGATGGGGGGTGCTCTACTGCTGTGCACCCCAGATGACTGACTGACCCTCTAGCTGTAGGCACTGGAGTCAGGGGACCTGCAGTCAAGACTACTCTCCCACCCCGGGTCACGCTTGTTGCTCCAGTCACCAGTCCTTGCCATACCATGTGACTTTAGTGTTCCTTACTCTCTGCTACCTGACGACAGACATGCGTTCTCAAAATTGGTCGCAAGTTAGAAATCACCCGGGGATCCATCCTTTCAATCTCCCAACGCAAGGGCCTCGGCATCACTGCCCTGGTCCTTCCCTGTGGCAGCGACTGGCTGTAGAGCTTGCAAGCCAGAGAAGACCCTCGTAAGGAAGGCTTGGGGCATAAAGCCCCAAGTTTTTCCTGCCTGAGTTAAAGATTATGGACTAGGAGGGAGAGAGAAACATAGGGCAAGAGACCAGAGGAGAAAACCATTATTTTCTCTGCACCAGCTAAGTACCAGGTATCTCACAATTACTGCTAATACCCTTTAAGCAGTGGCTAGCAAACTTGGATGTATATTAGAATCACCTGGAGGTGCTTTTACAAGGCCCAGTCCCCAGGTTATACCAGATGCCAGCTAAACTGCAGCAGTGAGGAGGGGCAGTGGGGAAATCCAGGCATTGTTTTTTAAAGTTTCCCAGGTTATTTCCGTGCATAACAAATTTGAGAATCACTGCTTTTCCAGGTCTCCAGATCAGCATCACCTGGGATGAGAAAACAGAAAATACATGCACTGGTCTGGAGCGCCTGAAACCCTTGTAATTTCCTAAGTGATAAGAATCTGGAATATCTACTCTTCTCGTGTGGGGACCTGGGTGGGCTCCTGGGAGCTGTCACCAGGAAGATCTGGTCATGATTGGAAGCTTAGAATAGTCAGCTCCAAACTTCACGTCCCTGGAAGAGGAGAGGGGCTAAGAACGAGTGGTAATTGATCAAGCCCACGTTCAGGAACCTCCATGACAGCCCAGCAGAATGGGCCTCGGAGGGCCTCCCTGGTGGCGCAGTGGGTTACGTCTCAGCATTATGAAGCTATCATGAGCAACAGTAGCATGAGTTCAATCCCAGGCCAGGGAGCGGGCCCACGTGGCACAGCAGACTGCTCTGTCTTGCTTGCTGCTCCCTTTAGCAGTGTGTTTCAGTTGATCCGCCTGTTCTCTGTTCTGCTCTCCCACTGGCCTATACCCCAGCTCTTGTATGCATAAATAAATAAATAAATCTAAAAAAAAAAAAGGAATG